CCATCCGTCCATCCGTCCGTCTGTCCGTCCGTCCATCCACTCACCTGTCCACCCACCATCCATCCGTCCGTCCCTCCATCCCTCATCCTTCCACTCATCTATTCGTTGGTTTGAGGAACAGGCATCAGGTGTACAGATAGCATCTTCTGTCCTTCGTGGAGCTGGGACTGCCCCGTAATGACTAAACAGGCAAGGATCCTTGCCTCTGTGGGGCCTCATTCTCACGAAGCAAGATAAATAATGAAATCGCGCATTGAACAGTACGTTAGACAAAGAAGAGGCTGACCGCAATTCTAGGTGGGCAACGTTTCAGTCAAGACCTGAAGGCAAAAAGGAGTAAGTTGCTCGAGGGTCTGGAGAAGCAGGTCCCGCGTCAGAAAGTGCCAGCGCGTGGAAAGAGCCAGGGCAGCTGGTGGACAAGGGCTGTGCACCGAAACTGTGGCAGAAAGTGTGGTCCACGAAATGGTGCCGGGGGCGGGGGGATGCAAGGAGCTGCACCTCTCAGATGGCCACCCCCTCAAGCCTGCTGTCCTCCTACAGGGGGGCCCTGGCCTGCCTCCACCGAGGGGTGGGCCCGGACAGGCCCTTGTAACTGCCATAACCAACAGCGCAGAGACGAGGCTGCGTGCTCCCAAGGCGAAGTCACAAAGCACCACAGACTCTTCACGTTAAGCAGCCGGGAGCACCCCGGCCCCTGGAGACAGCAGAACCCTCCTCCCCAGGGAAAACGCCGGCACCTGGAAGGCCCACCTGGCCATCACCGCCTTGGCACCTAGGCTCTCGGCCGACCTCACACCTCAGTGACGGAGGGGCCTCCCCCTGGGGTGAACCCCCGCCAATCAGCAGCAGGCCACACAGGCTGGGCACGGTCTGAACTGGGGCAGGGGCCTCAGAGGAGCTCCTCAGGGTGGGCCGGGAGGGGCCGCGTCTACTCTGGCTCTGCCCGGACGGACGTCCCTGCCGGGCAGCTCAGCGCTGCAACACACTGTCACCTGTGGGCTGACAAAGATCCTTCATGTCCCCTTAACCCTTTCAGGGAGAGACTGGTGGCACTGTCCCATCTTACAGATAAACTAAAGCTTCCAGAAGACCTCAGGGCTCCTGTGGCCAGGCAGTGGGATGGCTGGGGCTGGGACCCCGGGCCAGACTTCTACTTCCCCTCTGTAACCACGAGATGCCCGAGGCCAGCCATCCCCTCCCCACAAGGGAATGAGGAAGCTTCCAGCATGTCCACAGCGGCCTCTCCTGCCTGCACCCCTCTCCCGGCTCTGGCCTGCGCGCTGCCTGCGGTGAGGGGCTGTTCTTCCCGCCATAGGCCGCCGCTCTGGTGGTGACAGGCCACGCTGGACCACAGGGGGTCCTGGCTGCACTGTGAGGACAGTGGGAGCCCCGTTGCCAGGAGAAGGGAGGGAGGGGCGTCCTCGCCCGGCCCTGGAGCACAGTGTCCTGGACACCCCCCCCACATGCCTCCCAGGGAGGGAGCTCGGCCGACGGCTTGAGAAGCACCTTCCTGCTACTGACCCTGAGCTCCACCTGAGGCCAGCAAGGTGCCCCCAGGGGTCCCCACAGCCCGTTAACTGAGGTTCCCCATTTCTCACAGTCCCGTAGGACCAGGAAAGGGGTTCAGAGAAGGGACCTGAGGCTAGAAGGGGCGGGAGAGGTTGTGGCTCGGAGTGCCAGCTCTGCCCAGGCCAGCCTCGCTGTATGTGCTCTGCTGCCGAGGACACGGCGTCAGTGGGCACAGGAAGCAGGGACTCACCCCTGGGGGCCTGACTCGCCGGAGAGGAGGGTGGGAGGGGAGGGGTTGGTCGGCAGCGCGGCACTGGCTCTGGCGTAGGCACAGCTGTGGTAGACAAGGCCTAGGGGCAGAGCGGTCCACCGCGGGTCACCCACCAACCCACAGTGGGGAGGGGCAGCAGCTCCCGGAGGGTGTGCCTCGTGGCTCCTGCTTCTGCCCCCCCCCGGCCCCCCACTGGGAGCTCCTCCGGAGTCAGAGCCCCGCCCAGAGCCCCGCCCAGTCAGAGCCCCGCCCTGATACGCTTGAACTCCCACTGGGACAGACGCAGTCCTTCAGGCTTCTCTACTGACAGGGCCGCTGGCCTGGACACTGCCCAGCACCAACACGGGCCCCAGCGGCCCTGACGCCCTGGCCCCTGGAGCCCTGGGAGGTTTGGGGTCACCTAGGGCCTGGCCCATCTGGGACCAGTGTCAGGAAGGAGCCTTAGGCTCGGAGGCCAGAGACCACCTGCCTCCAAACCAGGGGCAAGCATGTGCCCCAGGGAGACAGAGAGAGAGATCTGTGCAAAGGGGGCCACGCCCCAGCCGCCTCCATCCCGTCGGAGGGACTCGCCTGCCGACCTGGCTCTTGCAAGCGTGTTGCTCACCTCCCCCAGGAGGGGACCCAGCAGCGTGGCCTCCTCCCTCAGGAAGGGGGGAAAAGTCCTGACTCCGTGAGCTTGTGCCCGGGCTGGCAGGGCTCCCTCTGCGGGTGCCGGGCTCCTACCCTGCGCCTCCTGCTGGGAAGGGCCATCCCCAGGGCAGTGAGGCTCCTGGCACAGCCAGGCACAGCTCTCTGTGGGTGGGTGTCCCCAGGGCTCTCCCTCTCGACCCTAGTCTCCCCATGGGGAGCAAAAGGGACGGCCCCCAGCCCAGCCTCCAGGCTGTGGGCGAGAGTGTCTGGGGCAGGGGTGTCCCAGGCTAGCCCTACGGTGCGGCCCTGCGGCCCTCCTCTCACACTGCCCGACTCCAGCAGCCCTGAGGACAGCGGGCCGGCGCTCCCCACAAGGGGACTCTGAGGCCCAGGGAGGGCGGGGGGCTGCCACAGGCCTGCCAGCACTTGGTGGCAGGAGGATGGAGTCCAGGCTCATAAGACCAGCGGTCAGGACAGAGGACAGCTGAGTCCAAGCCCGGGGACAGCGGTGCTAAGGTCACCTGTGAGCAGGAAGAAGCAGGGCTGAGCAGAACAGGAAACAGCAGGGAACAAGGGGCAGAGCTGGGCGGGGCCACCCTGTTCCAGGCCCAAGCACTTCTGCAGAGGTGGAAGCTGCAGAGATGGATGGAAGCTAAGGGTCGAGGGACAGGGCATCCAGCTACCTGGGCCAGCGGTCTGGGCACGGACACAGGGACGCTGTCGGGGGGCCGGGCAGGGAAACGACACGGGTGATGGCACTAAATAAATCAGTGGGGCTCCAGGCCCCCATCCCCCTCCTGGACAGCAACATTGCCAAAAAACAGGTCCAGGGTTGGGCAAGCAGGCAGGGACCCGCCGGGACAGTGAGCCGAAAGCCAGCAGCTGACGGCCCTGGTGGACAGGAGCAACTTCCCACGTGGGAGCCACTAAAGGGTGACAGGCTGATTACAGGGGTCCTTACCCAGCCTGGAGGAGAGCGGCCTAGACATGGGTGTGGGACACAGGCCTCTACGGCTCGGAGGAATGACCACTATGGTGTGTGGTGTCGGGGGCGGGGAGGGGGGTTGTCCACTTGCCTGGATTCATGCAACAACTGTCTAGCAAGCTGCTGAGGGCCCTGGGGATTGGGCCGGACAGCCAGCAGCTGAGGCTGGACAGGCTGGCAAGCAGAGGAGGGGCAGAGGGGAGACGGGGCTCGGGGGGAGCAGCTTGTGGGGGTGGTCAGAAGCCTGCCCAGCCCCACAGGGGAGCCTCCAGCAGCTGAAGTGTGAGCCACCCCTGTACCTCCCAGGCTGCTCCCCAAACCTGCCCCCACCATGGTCCACTGTCCTCCGCAGCTCTGGACAGACAACCCTCATCAGCCTGAGCAGCTGGGCTCCAGGCCGGCCCCGTGGGGGCCTGGGGACGCCCGCCTGTCCCCGGGACTCCAGCCTGGCCTCTGCCCTTGGCTCACTCATCACGTGGAGAGGCTGTCACCAGGACCAGCTAGCTGCAGCACTGGGGGAGGGGGAGGGGACACCGCATGTGTGCCTGGCACACAGCCTTGGGAGCGCCACGGCAAGTCCCTGCTGTTCCAAGGAGGGAGTGAGGCTCAGCACTTGGCTGGCTGACCCCCACCAGGCTCTGAGGTCCGCAGCCCCAGGCCCCTCCATCTCGGCTGTCCTGCACAGGCCTCCACGTGGGACCCATCACCCCTGGCAAAGCCCAGCCCTCTGCCCATGCTCACCACGCAGAGAAGGGCAACAGGGCCCAGGCCTGGGCTGCCCAAGGAGCCCCACAGCCCACGTCGGAGGGGAACCATCACCCTTGTCCTCACGCCCGGGCCGTGCACCTGGTGGGCAGCTCCCTGGGTGCCAGGACAAGGCCCGGGTTGAAGGGGGCCCCTGCCCCCCCCCACCCGTGGCACCAGCGGGGCTGCAGGCCCTTCCCGCAGGATCTCAGTTCCCGACCCAGAGAGCACAAATCTCTCCCCCTCCAGGGACCCCAGCGCCCCATGTCTTTAGGGGCGACCGTGCTTGGATCCCCTTCTCAGCTTCTTGCGGAAAGTCGGCCCCGCTGTGCTGACAGGAACGCACAGACGTGTGTGTCTGGTCCTTTCCTGTCTCAGGGACAGCAGAGGCCCGTGTGTGCTGCTGCCTCCTGCGGGGGCCCCAGGCGGGTGCACCTCCCCCTTTGGGGAGCACGGCAGTGTGAGAGGGCGGGGGCTCTGCTGAGGCAGCGGCTGCCATGGGGAGGGGGCCCTAGAAATAAGGGGCCGAACCCCGCCTCCCTGGGGGGGTATCCACCTCCTTCAGGGAGGGACAACAAACGCGGCAACATTTCCTGAGCTGGTGACTCAGTTTACCAACTTGCCCAGGTTCCCGTTTCTCTAGATGAAGCTGCTTTCAGAGATCGTGTGTCCAGAGCCCGGGCTCTGGCCTCCCCTGCAGGCCCGGCAGGGGAGCAGAGGGAGGCCCAGGGGAGAAGAGGGTGGGGCTCACAGGGCTTCAGGCCCCCGCAGTCCGGCGAGGGGGCCACTGGTGCTGGGACACACCCGGCCACGCCCCCACGCCCACGCACACCACGCACACACAGCAGGCCCAGGCCTCACCTCCATCTGCAGGATGGCCTCCCCGCGCAGCTGGACGGCCTCCACGTCGTCCTCGGTGATCTCCGGGAGCGGCGCCTGCTCCTGGCCCTGCCACAGGCCGTCACGTCCGTTAAAGATCTTTCCATCGTCAGGCAGCTCAGCAAAAGGGGCCCCGGGGCTGTGCTGGCAACAGAGATGGGCCAGTCAGCCCTGCGTGGCCCAGGCCACAGCCTCACCCCAGGCTCGTGGCGGCAGCTCCCCGTCGGGGCTAAGCCTCGGCTGCGGGAACCCTGCGCTGCTGGGAGGGGAGAGGCCCCATGGCCTGCATCCTGCAGCCCTGACGGGGCCTGTGGCTGTCCCAGGTTGGCTGCGGGGCGCACTCGGCAGACCCCGGCCCCGCCACAATGAGGACTCCGGGCGTCCTCAGCTCTCCGTGAAACCCAACCAATGCCCGTTCACCCACGAACAGGAACGGCGGCTTCTCACAGGGGGCCGTGTGCCACCGGCTCTGGAGGTGGCTGTGGTCCCCGCCGGGTCGAGCAGCCAGACAGGCAGGGGCTGCGGGCACCGAGGCGTGGGCTCCCACCCGGGGACGGGGTGCACACGACACCAGGGACTGCGTGTCGTCCTGCAAACCCCTTAGCTGAGACCAGGCCGTGGGGAAGGGAAGCCACAGGGGCTTTATGTGGTTTCGTTATTTACTCACGTCTCAGTTTCCAAATCTGGGGATTCAATAAAATGGCCACTTTTCCCTACAATTAACCATCTGCTCTCTGAGGGGACACTCTGAGCACAAGTGAGTCAGGTGTCAGGTCCTGAGCAGGGGTGCTGGGGTGCCTGTGGGGGTGCCTGTCTCCAGCCTGGGTACCCCACGGGGGCGAGGAGAGTGGGAGGTGGGGCTGAGCCTCCTCCCCGGCTGCACCCCAGGCGCTGACTCGGACCATGGCACCCCGACTGCAGGACAGCACGGGCACACAGACCTAGGGCAGGGCACAGCCACCCCCAGCCACCCAACGCAAGCACACAACTCCTGTGGAGCCCCCTCCTTCGTGAGTGCGGGCGACGGGCCCGAAGCAGACATGCAGGGTGGGACTCTGTCACCCTGCCACCTCTCCAGGGCACTCTGCGGGGAGTCAGCCCACGGGAGGTGGGGGAAGACCACCTTCCTGCTCTCCTGTGCCGCTCGGCCACACGGCAGGGTGCTGGCCATGCCACAGCCCCCGAGGGCCCGCCAGGCAGTCTTCGGATGGCCCGGGCAGAGGGGAGAACACAGCCTGTCCGGCACACCCTCAGGGCCTGTGACCGCCCACCCAGCGCCAGGCCCAGGGACACAGTGGATGGACGCCAGGAGCCCCGTGCACCGAGGACTTGGCCGGTCACACACAGAGTTCTGAGCAACGCCAGCGCACGCGGGCCAGGACAGCGGGACAGCCACGTGTACGTGGGCCACTACACTGGGGAGACGCAGGGACGGCTGCATGGCCCAGCGACCCGCGGGTGGGAGGCCCTGGGGACCACGGGACCACTGTGAGCCGCTGGAGGGACAAGACAGGGCTCTCTCTCCGGTGCCGCCCCCGACCCGTGCGGTGGGCACACTCACCCGCGGCAGGGAAGGAAGTGTGAGGCCCGCACTCACCCAGCTCCCCTTCCAGAGCCAGCGTCCTCCCCCGACTCCACACAGCCACAGCCACGGGTGGAGCCCCTTCCCCCAGCCACAAGAGGCCTTTACGTAAATAAATACGTGGATACAGGAATATAAAATAAAAGATCTAAAAAATCTGGTGACAAGCGCTACTGGTCCAAGGTGGCAATTACCACCTCCCCTTCCCGGTGTGGGCGGGAGGAAGCGAGCAGTGCCAGGAGGGGCTGGCACGCAGCCGAGCCAGTGTCTGGCCCAGCGCCCGCCACACACTCTCCGGGCCTCAGCGTCCTCATCTGCAGAACGGGATGACAACCCCGCACCCACAGGTGCCCACCACACAGCCACGCGCCCAGCAGGATGGACCACGTGGGAACCCCCGTGCCGACTGCTGTCCCTCAGCCCAGGCGGCAAGGCCAGGACACAACTTTGCAGGCTGTGCGGCCCTGGCGAGTTCCCCGGCTTCCCTAATCCAGTGTCCACGCCCACGGAAGGGGGCTGACACCCCCACCCCGGAGTCACTGCCGTCAGCAAGTGCACAAGAAAATGACGGGAGCACAGGCGAGCTTCAGGACAGACACGGGTCCTTGTGTGGAGGCAAGGGTGCCACCCCCAGAGGAGCGTGTGCACTGCCTCCTCCCCCTGCACCCCTCCCAGGCCGTCCCAGAGCAGCAGCAGAGGCCCCACAGGTCCTGGTGCTTCCCAGGTACACATGACAGCTGCCCCAGGTACACGTGACAGCTGCCCCAAGGCCCCTCACCTGCGCACGCAAGGGCAGAAACACAGCTCACTCACTGCATCTGCCCCGGGAGAAGGCACTGGAAAACCACAGCGCATCTACACAAGGGTCCCCACGGACCCACCAGCAGAGCAGTCAGAGCCGCCGGTGACAGAGGTGTCACGGGACACTTCACGTAACCTCCCCTGGAGTCTGGGGCTCCACAGAAGCAGCGCGAAAGCTGGGAGCAAAGGGCGTCTGCGTGCCCTCACCTCCCCGGGCAGGGCCCAGCCTCACCTCCCCGGGCGCCCTCACCTTCCCAGGCAGGGCCCAGCTTCACCTCCCCGGGTGCCCTCACCTTCCCAGACAGGGCCCACCCTCACCTCCCCGGGCGCCCTCACCTCCCCAGGTACAGGCCGCCCTCCCTGAGCGGCTCATGACAAGCCAGGGCAGCAAGAAATGGCTTGGACGCCTGATCTTGTGCAAGGATCAGAAAGCGCCCCTTTATTCTCCTCACAAAGGCCCAATTTGGGGATTTGGGATTTGCTGGCAAGACGCTGGGGCCGGCATGGAGGGGACAGCCCTGTGATGGCTTTCCAGCTCAAGAGGCCGCCAACAAAGAGGGCTTTCTCCTACATCCAAGGCCGCCAGTTTGGGTCCCGCCCGTACGGAAGAAACCCACAGACCAACGTGACTGCGGGACCCCGGGGCTGTGAGCGGTTTCCCGTGAGAAGAGCCGCGGCCTGGGGCGCCCTCGGGGAGGCGGGGAGAACGCACGCCTGGCGCCCAGGGCTCTCAGAGGTCTGGGAAACGGACCACTTACTCGCACACTCCGACCCCGGGCTCCGCGCAAGAACACAGTGACCCGTGGGGGGGGGGGGGGCGGGCGCAAGGTGTGAGCCAGTCACAGGCTTGGGGAAACTGCTTCGGTTTCGCAGCCCGAGGCTGGTCATCGATTTCTCCAGAGTAAGTGACTGTTAGCTAACGGAAGTTTCTGGAGACTTGTGAAAGCCCAGGATGTCAGAACTGGCAGAAGTGCAGCAACCCTTCCCCTGACACCGACAGGAAAGAACAGAACTGGGGCCTTTGTGCCCGTGCCCAGAGGGACTTCCAGGAAACCGTGGAAGGGGAGGCGTGCCTTTCCCGCTGCGGCCGCGGCCACGCGGGGCTCTGGCGGAATGGATGCCGAGCTGGCCGACGGCAGCCCAGACTGTGGACTGTCCCCCACGAAGGGCAGGAGCCAGCCCAGACACACCGCCGGGCCTCACCCGGTCTGAGACTGACCCACGTGGCCACCAGCCACGGCCCAGAGGGCAGAGCAGCTCACGGCCACACCCACTGCCGGGCTCAGATGGGAGCAGGGGCAGTGGGCACCCCTCACCCCTGCTGGGACCTCCAGCCTGCAGACGGCAGCCCCGGGGTCTGTGGTGCCGATGCAGCATCACGCCTGTGCTGGACAGGGTAAGACGTCTTCTCGCGGCTTCCAGTCTGCAGAACTCCTGGAAATAACCTTTCACAACTTCTCAGAAGCACTGCTGACCGTCCCCTTCCTCGCTAAAAAACTCTGCTGAACTACAACACATCCACAGTCCGATGCCCAGATCAGAAGCATAAGGTCTGAATTCCGAGACAGGAGAGAGCGCGAACGCCGCCGGCTCCCAGCACGGCCCCGCCAGGCCCCCGGCTGCTAGGCTGCCCCCGCCGAGGAAAACCCCGCCTCTTCTAACACTGCCATCACTTTGGCCTGGCGTCAACCTCTGTCCCCCAGTCTCAGGCTTCTTTGCCTCGCCATTCGGTCCAAGGTCACCCCGGTGGGCCTTGCTGGCGACAGGCTTCCGTGCACGAATTCCGCACGAGTGATCTAACCGTGCCGCCGAAGGCTGGCTCCCTTCCCAGGGATCTGCTACTGCGTGTCCGGCTGCCACGGGCATTCTTCAGTGTGCCTTCTGCTGAGCACACGTGTGCATCCACACTGGCTCTGTGCTTGGGGGGGACCTGCAAGGTCCCAGGAGAGTGCGCGTGACTCAGGTAAATCTTCCGGTGTTCCAGGCTGGCGGTGCTGCTCTCCTATCAGAAGCACACAGGCTGGGCCGCCCACATCCTCACCAGCATGTGGCGTTTCCTTGCATGTCTGTCCTTAGCTACTCTGGTGGGTACAGGTGGTATGCAGTGACAGCACTGAGGGGTCACTTTCCTTCTGATGGCAGACGCTGAGCACATGTCCCACTGGCCATTTAGGTGTCCCCTTCTGTGATGTGCCTATGGCTTTTGTCCTTTTAGGTTTTTGAAACCAGTTGTCCGCTTTTTTCTTATTGATTTGTTAGAGACCTTTACGTATTATGGACATGAATCCTTTTCAGATATGCATTATGTAAATACCTTCTCTCACGCCATAGGCAGCCTTTTTGCTCTCTTCAGGGTGCATTAATTTAACAAAGTTGAGTCTCTTCTTCATACTTCGTATGTTTTCATCTGCATAAGAAACGTTAGCTCATCGTAAAGATCTGAAGACAGACCCCTATGGTATCTTCTAGAAGCTTCACTGCTTTATCCTTCGCATGTATGTCTGTGATCCAGCTGAAGTGCTCTTTGTGCACAGGGTGGGTTACGGTAAAGGGCCTGAGATGCACGCAGCCTCCCGGCCCCTCTCAGCCACAGAAGAACGGGCCGTGGCCTGGGGCACTTTCTCACCAAGAGACGGAGCCTTCACAGCTGTGCCGGGCTTGGCGCCTTGTATGACAACATCCTTCGCTGTTTCAGACTCAGCGCATCCTCCGTTATTCGGCCAAAGCACCTGCATCACGTGGCACCCGGCCAAGCCCACTGTGGCGGGGGGAGGGGAGGGGTGGAAGGGGGAGGCACATGTTCCCTCTGCCGCAGCACAAGAGGGGTGCGTGCAAGCCAATGACCCCGCATCAGCCACCCGGAAGGACCCACTGGCCACAGGGGACGTGCCCACCGGGGGGGCTGGTCTTGCTAGCTCTTCTCAATGTGAGCAGGACACCGCCCCACCGGTGACAGGCTGCACTGGCTCCCTGGCGACTCCCACATGCAGACGCAGGGCCCGGGGTGTCCGGACTTGGACTGGTCATCTGCTCAACAGGCCCCTTTTCCCAGTTCAACTCCCGGCCAGTCCAGCACCAGGCCCTGAGTGGCCCCTCAAACAGCTGTTCAAAGGCTTCTTCCTAGTTTTGATGCTAACGGCATCACTTTTTAAATTTCACTTTCAAGCTGTCTTTTGCCGGCGTGATGTCTTCTTGTCTACTGGCCCTGTCACAACCACTTCCAAATTCTAAGTTTATCTGCAGATTCAATCACCTTTGCCAGCTACAGTCATGTGGTCTCTGAAGTGGTTTCCTCCTCCCCAGTTCTTCTCCCTTTCACTTATTTCCGTGCGTTGGTGCACTGGACACACCCTCCCGCGCAGCAGGGAGTAGAAGCCACAGAACTAGACACCACGCCTTGTCCTCAGCCTCAGGAGGAAAGATGTGAACAGCTCGCCAGTGTGATGCTCACTATGGGACTTTTGAAGATGCCCATCGTCAGGTGGGAGGCATCCCTCTCTACCTGTCCGCCCGGAGTTTCACCCCCTGCCCTGAGTGGGTGTGAAGTGCTCTTCTCTACTGAGATGATCAAGGAGATTTTCTTCGTCCACTAACATGGCGGCTTCCGTGGGTTATTTCTGCCTGTAAACCAACCTTGCACTCCCAGACTAAACCCACTTTATGACAACGTACTGGCCTTTCACATATTGCTAGATTTCGGTCTACTCGTGATTTGGCTGGGGGTTTTTATCCCATGCTCACAAGAGACTGTGTTACTTTCCGTTTTGTGATACGCTCGGAAGCACTGGGAATTGGAGTTTGCTGGCCTCCTAAAGCAAGGTGGGATGTGTTCCCTCATTTGAGATTTAAGATACTGAAGAGTTTCTATAAACTCTTTAATATTTATTCCTCAAACATTTGGAAGAATTCACCAATAAAACCATCTAGGTCTACAGTTTTCTTGGTGGGGTTTTCACTATGGAAATTATTTAATTATTGATTTCATTTCTTTAATAAATACTAGACTTTTCAGACTCTGTCTTGATAACTCACATTCTTCTAAAGCAATTTATATTTTACCGAAGTTGTCAAATTTACTGGTATAAAGTTGTATCCTAATATCTTCATACTTCTGTCATTTCTAATTGCTAGGATCCATGCTATGGTCACTGTCATTCACGACACTAGTAATTTGTAGTTTCTCTCTGTATTGTGATTAATCTTGTAGGATTTCCTTATTTTCACTAGTCCTTCTAAAAAGCCAAATTTTGGCTTTGTTGAATTTGTCTATTATGTATTTATTTTACATTTCACTGATTCTTGTTTTTTCCTCTATATTTCCTTAGGATTCAGTTTGTTGGTGCTTCTCTAGCTTCTTGAGATGGAGACTCAGATCTGTGATTTTCACCTTCCTTCTTTCCTAATGGAAGAATTTAAAGCTATGAGTTTCCCTCTGGGCACTGTCTTGGCAGCACCCACAGACCTTGAGTTGGTGCAATCTCGTTTTTGTTCAAGATGGTTTCTGATTTCTGCTATGATTGCTTCTCTGAGTTATGGGTTCCTTCAAACTGTATTCTTTTAATTCTCAAACTTGGCAATTTCTTTTTTGTTATCCAATGTGAGTTTAATTGTGCCAGTTTGAAGGCATACTCAGGGTCATGTCAACCCTCTGGAATCTGTTGAGACTGGATTCAGCATGCGCTGAGCACCTGCAGGGAATGCTCGCTCCCCTGCGGTCAGCTGACGTGATGTCCATTTGGTAGGAGTGAACTCATTAATCGTACTGGCTGAGTCTTCAAGATCCTCGCTGTACTTTTCTGTTTACTTCATCAGTCCTTTGGATAGGTGTGTTAAAATTTCCAACTATGATTGTGGATTTACTATTTTTCCTTTTATCACTGTCAGTTCTGTCTTACGTGTTTTGAAGCTATGTTATCAGACGCCTATACAGAACTACATCTCACATCTGAATTTCTGTGTCGTCCCTGTGAAGCGTGCTTCTGTCTGCACTGACACTTCACACGGACTTCGCTCACTGAGATACTAGCACGTGGCACAAGTCTTCTTTGGTTTCACAGTTATCTTCAACCATCCTTTTACTTTTAACGTTTCTCTGGATTAAAGGGTGTTGCTTACAAGCACTACACAGTTTTGTATTTTAACCAAGGCTCACAATCTGTACCTTTTCACCAAAGGAGTCAGGCCATTCTAATGTAGTCATAAATGAATTTGGTATCAATCTACCACCTTACAACTTGTGTCCTGCTTTCCTTCCTGTTTTTTGATTTATTTTTCTTTGTGCTTTCTTTCTTTCTAAATTTTTATTTTGAGATCTCGAGAGAGAAAAAACATCAGGGAGGTACAGGCATAAAGAGTGAGAGAGACAGAATCCCAAGCAGACTCTGTGCTGTCAGTGCAGAGCCTGATGCAGGGCTTGAACTCAGGAACTGTAAGATCATGACAGGAGTCAAAACCAAAAGAAGGACACTTAACCGACCGACCCACTCAGGCACCCCTGTTTTCTTTTAAATTAATCATCTATTATTCCATATATTCCTCTCTATTATGTTATAATTCATATTCTTGTGTTATCTTTTAGTGTCACCTGCCGAAGGCAACAGGCAGCCACCTTAGGTCAGGGTTCTCGTCAATTCTCGAAGGACCAGACACAGCACACACACTCCCACATGGCCGCTCCTTCTCCTGTGCTGCTGCCGGCCAGGCGCTTCCACCTGCCCCACGTCGAGGCCCCACGGCTGCAGACCATGATTCAAAAGCAGCCATAAGTCACAGCGCGTCGCCTGGGACCACTGTCCTCTGCTGTCAGAGTTCTGTCGATGATAAATTCCCGCAGTTTGTGTTTCGCTAAAAATCTTTTATTCAGCCTTCATTTCTGAAAACTACTTTCACCAGATGCAAAATTTCATGTGGGCCACTACTTTCTCCCCGCTGTCCTCCGGCTTCTACTGATTCGCCTCAGAAGCCAGGTGTGAGTCTTGGCGCTCCTTTATTTATTTTTTTAATATTTATTTTTTTATTATTTTTTTAAATGTTTTATTTATTTCTGAGAGAGAGAGAGAGAGAGAGACAGCGCGAGCAGGGGAGGGTCAGAGAGAGAGGGAGTCACAGACTGAAACAGGCTCCAGGCTCTGAGCTGGCAGTCAGCACAGAGCCCGACTCGGGGCCTGAACCCACGACCCGCGAGATCATCACCTGAGCTACAGTTGGACACTGAACCGCCTGAGCCCCCGGGCGCCCCAACTTGTTGCTTCTTTAAAAATAACATGACTTCTTCCCTCAGGCTTTAATCCGCTGTTAGAATTTTATTTTTGTTTTAAGTTTTCAAAATCTTATTATGATACGAGTAAGGGTGGTTTTTAAGGAACAGGATAAATTTATCCTGTTCGTGATGGAGGCTCTTCACCCCGTGGCTTGAGATATTCACACAGTTTTGGAGAAGTCTCAGCCACTGCACCTCAAACACGGTTTCTGTCCTCTCTGCCCTGTTCGCGCAGGACTCACTTTCTGCCCTCTCCCCTCCCGGGGGGCTGGTGGGACACAACCCCTCCCGCAGGGCAAGCACACAGCCGGCCCTCAGTCCTCCGTCTCGGCCCGAGCCAGAGGATGTACACGCCAGCTTTCTAAAAGATTCTTAGCAAGTCAGGAGCTCCCCCGCCCCGGGGTGGGGCCTCTGCCCTCGGTGCCCCCTGCGCCTCCCTGAGCACAGAGGGCAGTGGACTGTGCCGTCACCTAGCGCCCCCGGCCCGGCGGTCCCTCAGCACGCACCTGCTGTTTGGCACCCCTCTGCGCCATGGGAAGCAGAACTCTGGACTTTTCCACAATTTTCTGTTGAAGAACAGAGGAGACAGGAGGGACAGGGCGGTGGGGAGGAGAGAAGACGGGCAGGTGCACGCCCAGCACCGGACAGGGACCAATGGCGCCGCAGAGCTTCAGCTCCGGGACCGGATGCAGATGTCTGGGGTCTTGGGAAAGTCGAGTGCTCAGCTGGGTGCCCGGCCGGGCTCTGCTGACACCCTGGGGGGCACCCCCGCCCACACACCTGAGCTCGGGGTCTCCGTGTCCTTCCGTCAGGACGAGCGATGCCCGCTCTTCCCACCCCCGAGCCGAGGGTCGGGACCACCCCTCTGCTCCTGGGTCAGGACCACCCAGGCCACCTTGGGGACAGGCCCGCCAGAGCGGGTGCTCAGGGGACCAAGGCCCACCCCACCGGCCTGCCGCCTCCGCCGGTGCCTCACCTGCTGCGCGGCGCCGTAGCGCTCAAGGCCGTCTGACAGCTGAGTCCTGAGCCGCTCCAGCTGGAGGCGCTCCTGCTGCAGAGACAGCGTGGCCTCAACGGGCGGCCGCCGCCCACCCGCCGCCGCCTCCAGCTCCTCACCCCCCCCCCAACCCCCAGGGCGCCACCGCACCAGGCCCTCCACCGCCCCCCAGGGCGCCACCGCACCAGCCCCCCCACCCCAACCCCCAGGGCGCCACCGCACCAGGCCCCCCACCCCAACCCCCAGGGCGCCACCGCACCAGGCCCCCACCCCAACCCCCAGGGCGCCACCGCACCAGCCCCCCCACCCCAACCCCCAGGGCGCCACCGCACCAGCCCCCCCACCCCAACCCCCAGGGCGCCACCGCACCAGGCCCCCCACCCCAACCCCCAGGGCGACACCACACCAGCCCCCTCATCCCCCAGGGCACCACCGCACCAGGCCCCCCCCACCCCAACCCCCAGGGCGCCACCGCACCAGCCCCCACCCAGCCCCACATGCCAGCAGCCCTCTGCCCTTGGAGTGGGGCTCTTCCCGTCCACATGGCCCCCCGCCGTCTCCTCATGCTGTCAAACACCAGTGCAGGCTCCAGAGGTCAGCCTGTGCCCCTGCAGACACCCCCCGCCGGGCCCCACACTCCCACCCTCAGCACGGGCCGCAGAGCCAGGCGCTGCGCTAACACGATATGCATGTCTGGTCCTCACAACCTGCCACCTGAGAGCCCAAGTTCCACGTGGCCTGTTCAAGGCCACACGGGTGGTGGAGCCAGGCCACTGACCCCAGAGTCCTGAGCCCAATCACACACAAGGCTGCAGCTGACACCCCACTGTCAGACCGTGCCTCTCACCACCGAGCTCAGCAGCGCACACAGCCTCACCCCTCCACCGGAACGGGACTTGGTGTCTTGTGCGCCTGCTGCCCAGAACGATGGCTGGCAGAAAACTGGCTCTCAAGACGCGCTCCAGAGCGAGGGACACACAAGCAAGCCCTGGAAGCTGGCACTGCCTGCGGGGTCTGTGTGAGCCCCACGGGCCCTAGGAGCCCCAACCCTCCCTTCTCCCCGCGTCACACAGCACAAAGTGACACCAGTGCCCTGTGGCCTTGCACCAGGATGGGACAGTGACAAAAAGTCCTGGCCCCTCCTGCACCTCTCGTCATGTCCCAAGGGGTCCCATCTGTACCTCCAACCTGCACTTGGCCCCTGGGCCTGGTGCCCACCCCTCCCCCGCGCCACCACGCGAGCCACAAAGGACCCACTGCAGCTGCACAGCCAGGCTATTCACTCACTGACACCAGCTCTCCACCGGGCACCTCTCAGAGGCCCCAGCGGGTGCGGGTCTGCCGGGCCTGAGTGTCCAGCTGAGGCTCTTGTGAGGGGCCCACACGTGTGCCTCAGGATGGAGCTAAGAGCCCGGGGACCATTCGGTGCTTCTGTGCGAACGCCTCCGCTCCCCAGTCCGCCAGGGCCAGCATCAGCCCAGCATGACAGCACAGCCTTTCTCTGATGGCGCAGAGGCCACTGCGGCCCCGCCGGCCAGGCTGTCTACCAGGGAACCGCGAGCGCCTCAAAGGGGACCTCACTTGCGTCCTTCTCCCAGGGGCACAGACTAGGTGCTCCGTGCGTGCCATGTTCTTAGGTGGGGGGAGGGAGGAAAGAAGGACACGTTAGGCTAAGAGCGACCTCTCCGACCCCCAAGGAACTCAAGCTCCGATCCCCGGCCCCCAGGGCGCACATCGGTGACACAGACTCTGGCCCCAGGAAGCCCAGAGCTGCAATCTAGCCGAGGCTCCTCCCTGTGGCCAGGATGCTCTGGGCAGGACCCTCTCTGAGCCTCAGCGTCCTTCCACGTAAACGGGGGTGGGAACAGCAATGCACAGACGGCAGGAGCACCCAATGAGGACACGCTGCGCGGAGCCACGCACAGGAGATTCCGGAAACGTGCTCCTGGACGAACAAGGCAACACGGAGCCCACGGAGCCCACAAGCAAAGAGCCACGCCACACGTGAGGAGGCCACGCACGTGCGCCAACACCACAAAAGCACCGTGGACACAGTGCTGGACCACACGGCTCCTCCCACGGAGAGCCACAGCCACGGCCCCGACTCTAGGCTGGGCACCCACGTGTATGCGGCACAGTGTCCGCACCTTCCTGGACAGTGGACTCCCGCTTCTGGGACGCTTCCTTAGGGGGATTTCAGCTTTCAAAGCACAACTCGGCCTGTGAGCTAGGCTACATTTTGTTATAATGTAACTGAACTTTATTAAGTAGAGCCAGGCACACGTGACCTCCACGGCTTGTGTGGCCAGCCGGTTTCAGAGCTTCTCCCTGTTTCCCCCAGAGAGCTCCTCAGCCTGCAGGCCAGCCCAACTCCCCTCCCAGCCCCGTACCCCCCCACTCCTGCTGGCTGCGCAGGTCTGTGGCTTGCGGACCCTTCGTGAGAGCGGGGCCACACGGCACGTGGCTTGTGCACCGGCCTCCGTCACCGAGCGGGCCTCAGGCAGCTCACTGGCTTCTCGGTGCACCTTCCCCAGCAGCGCCCCCAGGAAGCCGCGCCTGAGGCAGCGTGAGGGGCCCTGGCACCACGTGACGAGTGGGTACGTCCTGGCCCCAGCTCAGGCCGCCCCGCGCCCCCACGGCCCCCAGGGCCACATACCCAGGAGCAGCCCTGAAGGAGCTCCGCCATCTGCTTCACGGCGCAGGCGCTGGCCTCGATGCTCCGGTTGGTCTCCTGCTGCACGGCGTGCCTGAGCAGGGCAGGGTGGGGGCGGGAGATGGGGGGCCGGGGCAGGGGCAGCAGACGGAGGCAGAGACGAGAGGAGGTGGAGGCAGAAGCAGGGGGAGGGGAGGGCAGGAGACACGCGCGGTGAGCGTGGGGAGCTAGCAAACAGGAGGGAGAAGCCAGGAGGAAAGAGCCAGAGGCACAAGAGACAGCAGCCGTGGGAGGGGACGAGGATTGGAGCCCAGAGAGGGACGGACACACCGCAGATGGAGAAGGAGCGGAGCAGTGGGGCAGAGACAGAGGCGAGGAAGGGGAGAGAATGACAGGCGTGAGGCCTGGATCGGGGTGGACCCCCTCCGCGCACGGCGGCCCCACACTCACACGCAAGCGAGGAGGCCGCGCCACGAACCCCCAGGGGAAATGCCCGCCAGGGGATCCCAGTGGGGAAGCTGGGGGAGCGGGGTGGCTCTGTGCAAGCCCTGCCCGGGGCCTCTGCGGCCACACGCCGGCCGAGGAAAGGACCCTGGCCCGGCTCTTGGCCTGACACACGGCAGGGAAGAGCCCTCCCGCCCCTCCAAGCTGCAGCCTGACGCCCCTGTGCTCCCCGCAGGACCCCCGCGTGGCCTAGGTGGGGGTGGGGGCACCGTCTGACGAGGTGGACGCCTGGCAGACGTGGGCCGGGGTCCCCGACACCTGCCCGTGGGCCACACAGAGCATGCAGCGGTGGGGGGTCACCCAGGCGGGAAGGTGGGGGGCAGTGGGATGGGAAGGAGACCCCAGGTGGCCCGGGCGGGGGCCGCGTGAGTGCCCCTGCAGCCGGGGAACGTGGTTCTTCCCCCTCAGGGCTCGCTCACGCCGTCGCCTGCGCCACTGAGCCCTCCGTTCACCTTGCCACGCCTGCCGCGGCCCCCCCGCCCCCCCCCGCGCCCTCCCAGCTGGGGGCCGTCCTGCGCAGGGGCCCTGCCGGCTCCGCGTCCCTCTGACCTCCTTGTGTCGGAGCCTCCACGCCTCCCAAGCCCAGAGCTCCCCGACGTGGCCACGTGTGTGCCTGTGGAAGCGCAGTCCCCACCTGTGTCCCCCAGTCCCACGGTCCCTGTTCTCAGCATGCCGGGCAGACCCCTGCCTCACTGCCACCTCCACAGACACCCGGACGGAGGACACTGGGGGCGGCGGGTGGGAGGCAGTGGGACAAGGGCCTCCACCAACTGGGAGGGGCAGGCACGCCCCGTCCCACACTCACCCCTGCCCCCACCGTTCTCCCCACTTCTGCCCTGAGGCCACCAAACTCCGGGCAGGGACCGAGTCACAGAGCACTCTCACTCCGCGGGGCCTCTGGCGAGAACACAGCAGCAGCGTGAGGAGTCGGCCCAGTTCCTGCGCTGGGGGCGGCGGGCTGTCCACCCCAGAGCAGTGGCCACACGTGCAGACCACGGCGAGCGAGGCCTCCCTGCCCAACCCGACCCCCCACCAGGCGCCACATCTGTGAACGGCGGGACAGCAGCCCACACACCTGAGAAGGGACTGGGAGCTCCGAGGAGCCAGCCGGCCAGTCCCAAGGGAAGTAGAAAGAGAAACACTACAGATACCATACAGCTCGGTGACTAACGAAACACAGCAGACCAGTAACAGAAACAATCAATAGAATCAAAAGGGATTCTCTGAAAGTATCAAAAAACTGCACAGCTCTTGACATACTGTGTCAACTACACTAAATAAAATAAATTACACAACTCTGTCCAGACAAGTTGAGGAAAACACAAATTACCAAAATCAAGAATGACAGACAGACCAGGACTCCAGGTGCGACGTGGAAAAGCTTATTAGGAGATGTTATGAAACTATTATAATACTACGTTGATTTCTTAACTACGACAAAACACAAAAACGTCTCAAAAGGCAGGAATCCTCAAAACTGACTCAAAAAGAAAGGGAGACCTACATAGGTCTGTGTCTACGGGTCGCAGGACTTAAACCTGTTCCTATAAACAGTCCCACAAACACCAGGACAGACGGCCTCCCCTCACGTGCTCAGGGCAGAGGCTGCACCAACACCACACGCTCCCCGCGTAAGACGGACCGCTCGGCTCTCCCCAGGCCAGCTCGAGGCCCACGCCAGGGCCGAAGCGGAGGCTCTGGGAGACGAGACACCGCACGCGACTCAGAAACACGGGAGCAGAAGCCCTGAGCAGAACATCAGAGCCGCTGACCCAGCAGCACGTGAGAGGGATGAGACTTCACCACCAAGAGCTCGTCCAAGGAGCGCGAGGCTGGCCCACCGTACAAAGAGCAATTCACGCGGGGCACCTGGGGGCTCGGTCAGTTATGCATCCGACTTCGGCTCAGGTCATGATCTCTCGGTTCATGGGTTCAAGCCCCGCGTCGGGCTCTGTGCTGACAGCTCAGAGCCTGGAGCCTGTTTCAGATTCTGTGTCTCCCTCTCTCTCTGCCCCTCCCTGACTTGTGCACGCACACACACATGCTCACGCGCTCTCTCTTTCTCCCTCTCAAAAATAAACATCAAAAAAATGTTTTCAAAAGCAATTGATGAAATTCTCATTTGTGACACAGGATAAATTTTAAAAGGAGAAAACCATCTCAATACGTTGTACAGAAAAAGTAGTGGTCAAAGTTCAACACCTATTCATTATGAAAACTCTGAGAAAACTAGCAAAAAAGAAGGGAACTTGTTCAATCGGATAAAGAAAATCTGACAAAATCCCAGGACACAGGGAGACACACAGTCAGGGGTATTTCTGTGCACCTCTAGCCAACTGCTGGAAAGTGAAATTTAAACAGTAATAATTTGTGTAAAGCATAAAAAATACGAAATTGCTGGCAAACTGCACAAAACACAGGCAAGACCTGTACACTAACCTGCAAGGAACAGCTAAAACGGGAGAATATAGGAATGAAGGAAATTCCGGCCACACTCACGGCTGGGAAACTCAAGATTGTAAAGGCGGCGATTCTCCTTGCATTGGTCTACAGATTCAATGTAATCTTAATTAAAATTAGAGCAGGACTGAAAAATCACAGAAACTGACAGGCCGCTGTAACATTTACATTGAAATGCCAAGGACCGGAAGTACCCGAAACAATCTGAAGCACAGATGAGCGAAGCTGTGGGCGCCCACAGCTGGCATTGGAACTTCCTGTGAAGCTTCCATGAGGAAGACAGCAAGGTGCCGTCGAAAAGACAGACGTCCAGATGCAACAGAATAACCCAAAACGTAGCCATACAGAGCCCAGTAACTTCGAAAACGGTGCAAAAGTATTCAGCAGGGAAAGGATAATCCTTCCAACAAATGGTGCTGGAACTGGATAATCATTAAAAACAAATTAGCCAGGACCCCTAGCCCATGCTGCACCCCAGGGGCTTAACCTCAGGGGCTCACTGGCCGGGAAGCACAGCAGGCATCCCAGAAGCCCCAGGCGCCCCCCAGCCTGAGGGACCCAGACAAGTCTGTGGAAGAAGGGGAGCTGCCTGGTGGGGGGTAGGGTCAGGGGACCGGGCGGGGGGGGGGGCGCATCGCACACAAAGGGTGGCCAAGGTGGGCAAGGAGCGGGGGAAGAAGGGCCTGGAGGCTCAGGCCCAGTAGCTAATCTGGAAAAGCATGGAGGGGAGGAGACATGTTTGTGCAGGACGCCCGGGGTGGCGAAGGCAAGGGCGCCCACAGCCACCGGCCAGGTCTCTGCAGCGGACAGTGGGCCACAGGAGCCCCACGGACGTGTGCACCCCCTACGTGGACAGAAGCAGGTTGGAATGAGAAGCCAGCAAAGGAGAGGGATTCATGACCCACACCTGGGAAGGGAAAAGCCCAGGAAAGCAAGGGCTGCACAGGGTGGAAGCAGCCTCTAGAAGAAGGGAGTATCTCAACCACAGAAAGACAAAAAACCCAATTCAAAAATGGAAAGAGTCTGAAAGGACATGTCTTCAAAGGTCAATAAACCTGTGAAAAGATGCTCCACGTGCTTAGTTATCAAGAAATACAAATAGAGGCGCCTGGGGGGCTCAGTCGGTTAAATGTCTGACTTTGGCTCAGGTCATGATCTCACGGTTCGAGAGTTTGAGCCCCACGTCAGGCTCTGTGCTGACAGCTCAGAGCTTAGAACCTGCTTCAGCTTCTGTGTGTGTGTGTGTGTCTCTCTCTCTCTGACCCTCCCCTGCTCACGCTCTCTCTCTTAAATAAAAAACATTAAAAAAAAAAAAAAAAAGAAAGAAATACAAATCAAATTCCCAAGGAGGCGGCACGTCACCCGGCACATGGCCGCAGGGCCCTCACGCCTGCTGCTGGCAACGCAGAAGCACAGCCACTTAGGGAAACAGGCTGTCAGGCCCTCAACCTTGAACAGTTACCGCCACCAGCTCCATGCCCAGTGCTCAGGCGGGAGGACTCAGCACACACGGCCACACACACACGTGCACAGCAGCGCCTCAGAATCACCACGAAGAAACAATCCAGTGCCCGTAAGCCGAAGACGGGTGCGTCCTCCCCGTTGGGGCCCCTATAACAGAAGCCCACGGGCTGGACGGCTCGGAAAGACAGCAGACGATGACCGCTTCCCGGCCCAGACGCACCGCCTCCCCACTGTGTCCCCACGTTGCAAGAGGGGTTCTCTGGGTCCTTTCCCGAGGGCACTAAGCCCACCCATGAGGGGCCCCCCAGGCCCTCCGCGCCTCCCCAGGCCCTGCCTGCTGACACTATCCCCTTGGGTTTAGTTCCAGCCTCAGGACTCGAGGAACACGAACATCCCGACCATGGCAGGATGTGTCCACGCAGGGGAAGGTCACGCAGGAGGAGTCAGGTCTATGCCATGACATGGGGTGACATGACCCACCCTGTGCCTTCCCACGGTCATTGGGCCTTCCCTTCTGCCAAATCCGACAGTCGGTCCCCGTCCACCTTCCCCGGTCCTTCCGGACACGTTCAGAAACCCCTTCCCCTTCTGCCCCCTCCCGTCCCCTTCCTGAGGAAACCCTGAGCCTTCTAAGGCCAGGGCAGAAGGGGTTCCCGCCACCCTGGG